CTATTGGATGAAGAAAATAGCTTTTGTCTGATTTCTACTACGATTTTTATTTGTTTCAAGTCGCTAAAGTATCTTTAGTTATAGTCGAAGTAAACGATATTGTGCACACTTAAAATTGACGGCACTCTAAAAGACCAAAAAAACCAATACATAGAAATGAACCAGCTTAGAACTAGTCCACGTTTACTGTAGAATTGGCGGTTCCTATTGGATGAAGAAAATAGCTTTTGTCTGATTTCTACTACGATTTTTATTTGTTTCAATCGCTAAAGTATCTTTAGTTATAGTCGAAGTAAACGATATTGTGCACACCTTAAGTTGACGGCACTCTGAAAGACTAAAAAACCAATACATAGAAATGAACCGTCTGCGAACTAGTTCACGTGGACTGTAGAATTGGCGGTTTCTATTGGATAATTTTTACTAACCGAGTTTTATGATTGGCTGAAGAGTCAAAATTAAATTTGAAGTTATGTTACGGTAACGAATAAAAATCGGAGAATGCGAGGATGGTTATAGTCATCGTATTGTTAAATGTTCAGTCCAGGAACTGATCGCGATTTGAGTGTTGAAATTCAATATTGGTGCAGTTATAATTACTTAAAATGTTTGTTATTTGTTCAAAACGTGGCGTTCTTGGACACGACATGGACGATTTGTTGCTGTGAAATTCCGCTAAACGCTCAATTGAAACATCTTTACGACACTGTTTTTGCTCGAGTGTGAGCAAACGCGGCACCTATCTTGCACACAGCTTTCTCACGTACACATTTTCAGATAGTATATGATTTACGCACTTCTTAAACTGCCTACTAATTCTGCTAGCTCGCGGACTTTCAGTCGAAGATCATTCGATACCGCTTTGTTGGGTTTTTTCACCGTTCCTGAAGACGTCACCTCATTTGGTAGACCACTGCGATGCTCGTCTTGGCAGTACGAATGCCCTCGTTTAAACTCTGCTACCCAGTATTTTACTCTTGTAAACGAAGGAGCAGACTCACCTAGAGTAGAATCCAGTTGAGCTTTTATATTGGTTGGGCTGAGGTCTTTCAAATAAAAGTATTTTAACACATACCGATGACCAATTTTCTTCATTTTCGCAAATTCAACGAAAACGTTCGCTATTGATAGTAAACTGCCAAACAAATACTAAACAATGCAGCTTCTTCAAACTTGAAACATATACTTTATGAATTGTGTACTTTCCGATACCGTGATATTTTTCAAACAATTACTGCCATTTATAGGTCAGACCGGGTACTTGACACTTAAGATACCATAACATATTGTGGAAGCCACATAAGCATGATATGAAAATGAAAATTCAACTTTACCTTGTTCGGACGTGAAACTTATTATTAGGAAACTTATGACAGAACAATTTCAAAAGATCATATATCAGAAGAATACAGGGAAAACCCCTCTCGAACAAAAATTAAAGAATATTCAAGCCGATTC